CACGACTTTTTTGTAAATATCTCAAAAACGAACCAGCCTGGAGATTAGAGGTATGCACCATCACCATTCACTACTCGACGCCAGCTTGTCGATTCCATCCTTCCAGAACGACGGAGGCTGGGACTTGAAGTCGTCGAGCGCCTTTCTGACCTGATCCTTTGTTTCGAACTTTTTTCCGTCCAGATAGCGCTGCAGGTGGCTGAACAGCCAGTAGTCAGAAGGAGCGAGGTCAGGGCTGTAGGGAGGGTGGGCGACCATCAGCCATCCGTACTTCTCCAGCTCGGCCTGGGTCGCCTTTGCAGTGTGAGGTCGGGCGTTGTCATGGTGGAAGTAGATTTCCGCATTCCTTCCACAGTACGGTTCGACGTGTGGAGTGTTTTTTCTCAATTTCCGCAGCTGGTCCTCACGTATGTGGAAGCTACGTCAGTCGTCTACTTTCTCCAAGCAGCTCCCAGTACTCCATGCGCTCCTCGGAAACCACAACCAGGACAGAGGAACCATTTTATGGTGTGAAGGTCAGCTGTTGACGGTGGTTCCTGGTGTCTTGTTGTCGACCCATCTCCTGCCTCCCTCACACGCGTTATATCGTAGAGGACCACTGGTCTCATCTTCAGTCATCATCGAGTCGGAGAAAGCGAAAGCCTCACTATTTGGGAAAGTGAGGAGAGAAATGCGGCCGTATGCATCACCTCCTCTAGAGGTCATAAGCGGACAGTTCATGTGGACCCATCGACCAAGCTTTGCTACCTTGCCGAGCTTTTCTAGTCCACGTGCAACCGTCGAATGAATCATGAGCCTAAGCGGTCGCCATTTTCTGGTGCTGACGTACGGGTCCTCCTCCACGGTGGAACGTAGTACTTCAAATCCAACTCCATCGGCCGACCCGACCTCGGAGCATCTTCGAGAGAAAAGTCTCCTTTCTTGAATTGATTCCTCGACACCAACTTTTTCTTGCATGTCATGTGAGGCAGATGACGTCTTTCACCGTATGAATCCACCCACGGCTGGTATGCGGCTTCTTTGCATTGCAAAGCCGAAATCGTGGCAGCAAAACCAACACAGATGGCGCAGGACGTTTTGGTCACAGTGCAATTGCTCGCGTACATTGTGTAACCTCAAAGGCATAGCTCGGTGTGTGATAATTAGGTGTATAATGAAAGAGATATGCTTATCTCTCTCTGGTAGGAGAGGATCAAACACGTGTATAAGAACTTATGCGACTACCTAATACTAGTAATGTTCATAGGGTGATTCGGGGTTATTCGGTAATTCCTTGGTGTTGTTCAAATTTTATGAGGAAACGTATTTATCACACCAATCGTACTGTTACTTTCTTTCCAGCTCAAAAATAGAAATCGATTCAGGGCTATAGAAACAGTGTGCCTATTTCCTGAATCCGCGTGGGTCTCAGAACAGCAGCATTACTTTTGATGGGCGATTGACGCGCTGCACGCTAACGGTCGTACCGATCGGCGTTGCCGTCAGTCGACTCGAGGTTTTTGAGTAGAAGAGAGGGTTTTTTGCTAAAAATTTGTTCATATTTGCGAATGTATAGAGATATTTGAATTGTTATCAGTGAAACGCAATAATGTCATCGATATTTTCTTATGGCCCAATTTCAGTTGGTTGTGATGGTAGCGGTTAGAAAACTGATAGAGAAGTTCTTCACTACGACTGATCTGAAGTACCTGGATGACCCGATGCCGGACTTCCACCTCAGAAAGAAAGAAGATCTGAAGAGGCGCCAGAGTGTAGTTGGTTTATTCATAGTGCTCATTAGACAGATCCAGTCAGGAGTCATTTCAGGGAGAGCCGGTTGATATTGAACTCGAGGACAATCAGGCCACAATCCATGCGGTGAAAACCGAGGCCCATCTCCATATTCCAATGGCTAGTGGCAACGTCATCAAGATTCCGTTGGCAGCTATCCAGGAACCGAGCCATTCGATTAATATGACGAAAGAAGTGAGACATGAGCTTTATAACTCACATATACTCTACCTCGCTGCGGACGGTTGGGCGTGTCAGCCAGTATGAGTGTGTCACCCCGTCAAAGCCGTTCTCTGCCTTCTTGTTGAAACGCGCATGCGACAAAAAGTGGTAGAAAACGAGTAATACGAACGATATGATACAGTATTGTCACTTGCCCGCTTCAACAACTGGTGGAGAACGGGTTTGGTACACGCCAAACGCAGCCGCACTGACTGAACCGTCCGCGGCTAACTTCACTATATGTATGTTATTTATTGTTCGTTTATCAAGGTCAATAGCAGTGGTATGTGGAAGCACATCAGTTCAAGAGATTCAAAGAATTCCCTTGACAAGGAAATGCCGAAGACAGCAGTGTGAGTCCCGTTACTAGTTGTGGCAATGGTTAACGGAATGAAAGTATACGTTTTACTACAGATGCATTGCCTAATATGTTTTGCTGCGCTACTTCAGCCTGCGAAGCAGTCAACTAGGGCCTATGAAGTGATCCGTGAGTTAATCCGTAGTTTCAGGCCGAATGAGGCGCCTTTGGAAACGCCTGAAGAAGACGAGGATGCAATCATGATAAAGGTCCGTCTAATTCATGGTTTATTTCCTGTTTTAAACTTTTCCTCTTTCGCTGTCTCTCATTTGATCATGTTATTAGTTTAGTCAATGGGAAACAACTAGACTCGCTGAGAAAGCAGTAAGCGCGGTTGGTAAAGTTACGAGTGACGACGTCGTTGAAAACATTGTATTGAGTGGTGGTAGTAGTCTCCTTGTGCTCGCTCCCTATTACCATGAAGTGATTTGAATGTTGGTCAGTCCCTTCCCCGACCCAACTATTTAACCAACCCGCCAGGTTTCTTGCACGCTTTTCTTCGCTTACTACGCAGCGCAGTGCAAAATCTACGCAGTCACTGGCCGTAGTCACGTGTGTTTGTTTGTCCATGTCGCGCCTTGTGCGAGACGGCTGTTCGCTGTTCTAGACCTGTGGTAGGGTGTAGGTCAGCACATTGAGCTGCGGCGAGATGGGCGAAATAAAAGGTCGTAAAGGTATTACATTCGCGACATCCTTACCAGGA